GGTTGCTGTCTATATTTCCACAGACAGGATGGGGACAGGTTAAGGGGGGTTGGGCAGACAGCTCTGGGTGACTTCTTCCACCCGAGGCAGTGCGAGTCACCTTCACACACCCGTTTCCTCCGCTTCGTTCTCTGGGAAAGATGTGTCTGAGAGTTGCAAGGCTGAGAATACACCGAACATATTCCGCCATTTCTGGGAAGTTTCTGCTGTTAGCGATTTGCAAGTTTCTCCCCAGATGAAAAGTCAAAACAAAGTGGAGGTAAATGGGCCTTGTAAACAATGGTGCAGGAAACTTTGTCATTGGGGTGTTTATGTGCACAGGGGTGGGTGGACTGAGCAGGGCGCAGGCCCCTTCTTCATCTCTGTGGTCCCGGGAATGCTGGGTGTTTGCGAAGCCTGGGAAAGATGCCGACCTGCTGGGCTAAAAGTGACAGTTCTCCCCCTGTTCCAGAGACAGAGGCAGCTGCCACTGCCCTCCCCGAGTGGCAGGAGGTACCCAAAAGCAAGAGTACCAATGCACAGAGGTCAGACCTCGCATCAGGACTTGCAGAAGTGTTAGAACGGAGTGACGAGGCTTGAGGTGTAGGAGGGTGGTGTGTTTATTTGTACAAATCTTTTCCCCCCAAGGAACAGGCTGAAGATTTTTGAGAAGCCAAACACTAAATACTTTTTCTTCCTCAGAGCTGTGTCACTCCTGAAGCCCAGAAGCAGTTCTGTCCCCCTTCCCAGCCCCCACCTCCATCCCTGTCCACATCTGGGTCTACATTCCTGTCTAGAGGCACAGCATCCTTGGCAGCAGCCATGGCTGAGCCACATCTGGGGCACTGATGGCCACATCTGTTCTACCCCTCTCAGACCTGGTTATTTCTATTCTCACTTGCATCGTCATCTGAGGAGTCTAGAGGGGATCTGTAGATGGTGGGTCCCTAATCTCCAGAGCTATCAGTTTCTAGAGGAGGCCCGGGGTTAGGGGTGGTTGTGTTCCATGTCATCAAGCCTTCACCTCTGCTCTCATGGGTTCTTGGCTCTGATTGTGCCAGAGGTCTCACGCCTCCTTGGTGCTACTCTGTCTGTGGCACTCAAGCCTTTCTGTCCCAGGATCTGGGTCCACTGTCTTTGTCACTGACTTGGAGTGTGTGGTGGAGGAAGAACGCTCAGGTTGCACATGGGAGGGGGTGGATACAGGAGGTCAGAGGAGGGAGATATGCAGCTAGGGAAGGTCTCTCCTGGCTGTCTCAGGAGTGAGTCCCTAGATTGGTTTAAGAAAGAAAGAAACAAAGGGTATAAGTAATGTCAACATGTATCATGAGGACTAAGGGTTATATGGCCAAGGTGTGGGGTGTGCTGAGCATTTTTTGATGTGGTCTTTCATGGCTGGACACACTCTGGCTCTGAAGTCCCCGACAGGGAGCCTGGCCTAGGAGAAACAGAGGGTTCTAGGAAGGGAATACCTTTCTTCCAGTCTGTCTCAGACGTGTGGATCTCTGGAATTCTGCAAGCCCGTGTCCCTCCAGTTGAGGCCTTCTCAGGTGGGGAGGCAGACCTTCAGCTAGCTTTCCTCTCTGTGCTCTCAGAGAAATCTTCAGGTCTGGCGCAGGAAGAAGAAATTGGCATGATTGTGACTGGGATCTTGAGCAGGGTGAACAAGCCCCCTCTGTGATATGTATATGAGAGGAACCACTTTTTAGGTTGCTGTCCCTGTTCTGGAAGGCTCTGGCACCTTGAGAAGTTAGAAGGCCCCATTACCTTGCTTGTTCCTTGCTATGGATCTGAACACTGGCTGGGCCCAGTTAAGACTCAGAGATCAAGAAAAGTGCCCCAAGAGGCAGGGTCAGGGTGCAGTGATGTGATCTCTAGTGTTCATTTGGAACCAGGGATTACCTAGGAGTGGGGGCAGTTCTCATAATTGACCCTTCTCTCCTGTGCTCTGATTTCTGAGGAAGCTCTACAGTTTCTACTGCAGGAGGTGGGTGGGGAGGGAAGGGGAAGCACACTACACAGGAAGGTTTAGGATTTGGATGCAGATAAAGGTGTGGGGTTGAATTCAACTGTTGGAGGGTGTGGGTTGAGATACGTTTAGGGGATTGAGACTGTGAAGGGTGGATCTGAAGTTGGGGTGACATTTGGGGCGGAAGTCAATGGAAGAGTCGGTGTTGAGGACGAATAACACAAATGGCTGCGTCTTAGCACAGACTCAAGGAAAGCCTGTGGTATGCCGGAGGGTCCCGCCTCCGGAGTGGGTGCTCTTGTCTGCCGAAGCCTGGCACTTTCCCCAGGATGACCCTCCTACCTATTTGGTGAGCACAAGATGAAGGCCTCCCTTGAGCAGAGTAGAGCTGGGAATGTGCGTTAGATCAAGATTTGCGGGGTTATTAGGAACTCGCCGCGCAGAGTGCTTGAATTTTAGGGAAATTCCAGTCCTCCCGCACCTAGCCTGCCTTCCTCCCACCTTCAGCTGATCCGATCTCCGGCCCACTCCGTTGTCTGGCCTCTGACTTTAGGACTTTGTGTTCCCAGCTCCCTTCATGTCACAAGGAGCAGCTGTGAGGAAATCTTGGCCTGGCCTGGGTGGCCCTCTCATCCCCACCCCCCTTCTCCTCCCGTCTTGTCTCCTGGGGGAGGGTAGGACACAAAAGCCGGATCTCTCCTCTTTGCAGCCTCTCCCCCTTCTCCCCCAGTTCCCTCCAGGGCTGAAGGAGGCCAAAGAAAACAGAGCGCTTCTCCGGCTCCCCCTCTCTCTGCCTCTCCCTCACTTCCTGCTCCGGGAAGATGGTTTACTCGCCCCCCCTCCCCCCTCCCCCGCCCTGGCAGAACCTGGCCTTGGTGTCAAGTTTCTGTAGAGCTCCCAGAGTCAAAAGATTGGACTCTAACTGGACTCTTTTATCTCTCTCCATTTCACCATTTTCATGTCTTCCCCACCCCCGATGGAAAACTATAGATCGCAGTTGCCCTCTCTGTGTCGAAATTCGGATCTTCAGAGGGTAGGAAAGTCCAGCGGAAGGCGTGTTCTTTGGGGATGAAGGGCGGATGGGAAGAAGGTGAGGTAGAGTCAGGTGGCTCCTGGAAGGAAGGGCTCTCTGTACCGCGGGTAAGAAGGAATTCTGTGCACACAGGAACGAAATACTGTCCCTTTTGGCGCTTGAGACCCCAGTTCAATGCAGCTCCTGCTTGTAGCACAGAAGGGTGCCTGGAGCTTAGCGACACTGGCTGGCCAAGGGCAGACTTGAAAGACTGTAAAACAGTGAGGCCAGAGGACCAAATGGTCCCAAGTCTATTTGGGACCAACCGGGAGAGTCTCTTTTAGAAACTTCTTGGGTTTTAGATCCCTGTTCAGTCCAGTTCCAGGTTTAACCACCTCCCCCCTCCAAATTCCATGAGAGGATTCTAAGACAGTTTTCTTTGCCTTGGAAAGACCTTTGTTGAAGAACCTTTGAATTCCTGAGGAGACCTGATGTCTCTGAAAGCCTGGACCTCTCTATACACTTATTGTTAAATGTAAATAATAAATAAATGCATACATAAATAGACAAAAAGAGGAGGAAGAGAAGGGAGAATCCAGAGGAGCCAGAAGGGAAGACTGCTTACAGAAATTATTATTAATACTGCCCTAGTTATCATCACCTGCCTGAGCCTGCAGAGCGTCTTACAGAGCTGAAAGGCGGGGGCGAAGGGATCACGTCCCCTCGGACGGGCCAATAGCAGTTCTGGGTTTGCAGATGTACACTTGTTTAGAATCTACTCTGTGCTGCTGGTGGCTCACACCTTTAATACCAGTACTTGGGAGGCAGAGGCAGGTGGATCTCAGTGAGTTCGAGGCCAGCCTAGTCTACAATGCGAGTTCTGGGACAGTTAGGACTGTTATGCAGAGAAACCCTTATCTCAAAACAAAACAAAATAAAACAAAGCAAAGCAAAAAAGAAGAAAAATGAAAAAAGAAAAAGAATTTGTAAATCTCTAGTGGGGCTGGAGAGATGGCCCTGGTTAAGAGCATTGGCTGCTCTTCCAGAGGACCCAGATTCAACTCCCAGCACCCACATAGCAAGCTCACAACTGTAATTCAAGTTCCAGTGGATCTGACTCCCTCACACAGACATATATGCAGGCCAGATACCAACACATGTAAGAATTAAATAACTAACTAAATAAAAAATACTTTAAAAATAATCTACTCTGGCCCAGTGCTTTGCTGAGCACAGAGGATAAGATAATGGATAAGAACAATAGAGATAGTTTGAAGCCTGGTCTTGGGGATGGAGCCAAATTATCAATGGGGAAAGCCCAGTGCCTCATCTCAAATGCCTAGAGTAGAAGTTCATCCAGGTACGGTGTTAGTAACACAGCTGGGTTAGTGAGGTCTTAGGCTGAGGGGTCCAGAGCAGGTTCCCAGGCAGAAGGAAGCCTTGAGCCATGGCAACATGGTGAAAGTCGTATTTTATTGGCAAGAGCTCCTCTAGTTTTTGAGTGGAGGACTAAGAGCGTGAACAGGGATTTGTAGAACATGTAGTTTTCATTTGGAAAATTCCAGAAGAGCAACTTGTTTGCCGCTGCTAGAATTCGCCACGGAAAGTCTTCTGAGTCACTCTTGGGACTCATTCTCCTCTTTTCTCTAGAGTCTTCAGTTAATTTCTTTCTCTCCTCTCTCTCTTTTTTTTATCTTTCCTATTTATTTATTTTCGAGACAGTGTTTTTCTGTGTAACACTCCTGGCTGTCCTGGAACTCTCCCTGTAGACCAGGCTGGACTCGAACTCACTGAGATCCTCCTGCCTCTGCCTTCCAAGTGCTGGGATTAATGGCGTGCGCCACCACTGCCCGGCAGTTAATCTCGGATCTTCTTGCCTCTCCCTGTTCAAGCCGTCTCTCCCTCCATAGCTCTGTCTTCCATTTTTCAACTTGCGTTTCTCTGTAGCACTTACTGCCATGAAGATTTCATCCTAATTTTTGTTCCCCTTCTCTCTGATCGTGAGACTGTCAGCAGCTCCATGAAGACCAGGACTTCTGTGTGCTTTATCCATCACTATGGCCCTTGTGCCTCAATGACCTGAACGGCCCGGCACAGAGTGGAGGTTTGGTGAGTGCTTTATCCATGTTGGAAACACGCCTGCAGAACTCTAAAACGTACCAAAGATGGTGGTTCTGAGAGACAACCAATGACTTTCAGATGCTAATTCACAGACTAGCAGCATTAGGGTCATTTTGGGGTACTTAATAAAGTAGTCTTTGGAATTCCTCTTCAACCCAGTGAATTAAAACCTCTATACAAGGATTCTGAATTTGACAAAGATGCCTGTTGATTCAGTGTGCGACAAGGTCAGAAGCCATAACTAGAAAATCTGGAGAACAGAACATGTCTTTCCTCAATGATAATCAGTAAGAGACTAGAGAATTCTATTAAGGTGGAGGGAGACCTACCCAGGCGCAGAAACCAAGGTGGCTTGGACTAGTATTGAGACAGTAAAGACAGGAAGAAACGAATGGATTCAGGGGATGCTCAGGAGCTCAGATCTTAATGATACAGTCCATACATCAAGGAAGGACAGAAGGTATTGAGAAAAACACCTGGGTCCCAGGCTCGTCCAGATGCAAGGGGCGGGGGTGGAGACATCATCATTCAGATGAGGTTAGCACAGAGGGTGTTTGGGGCATAAGATTGGGAGCTTAGACCTATTGAGCACAGGGTACTTCTGGAAATTGAAAGAGAAAAAGTGAAGCCATCAGTCATATACCCAGGCCAGGAGATTTCCAAAGCCATCCTGGTCAGAATGGAAATAGTTGATTTGCAACTAAGCCAGGAGACTGGCATCAAAGGAGACAACAGAGGAAAAAAAAATGTGAACATATAGTCCCAATAGTGAGAAACAAAGTTATAGGAGTTGAAATAAAAGTGCATGTTCTCTAAAGGAACACAAAATAAAAGGGCATGATCTGTGCGGCCAGATTGCGTGTGTAGCTCTCGCCGAAAGCGCCTGCTGACACAAATAGGAAATGATAGGCTGTGACTCACAGGGAAGGTAATTCAATTTGTGCACTTGCCTCTGACCATGGGCGCCTTAGCTGAGCTCGGAGAGCACTTCTAATTGAGTCAACGCCATACTGGGTGGGGATGCAGGGGAGATACGACGCCTGCAAGCACCAGGGGAAGACACTGCACTTTAAACAGAAAGAAAGAAATGGGTCGAGAAGAACAGGGGCGGGGATTGTAGGCTGTGAGATGCAGGACTAGCTTGACGGCCAGGGAGGGTTCATTGCTCTGGGGTGAGGGAGTGTCTTCCTTCTCAAGGGTCATTTGTTTAGATTTTGCTTACCAAGAAGAATTCAATAGTAGAGAATGTTTTCTAAGCACTGAGCAGTAACTGAGAGCATTTTGCTAAGTCCTTACCATGCATTATCTCATTTAACCAGCACAAAAATCAATGGCACAGATTACTTTATGGCTTGGGCTGCACAGATGACAGAACAGGGGCAGAGAGTGATGAGTTACTGTGCCTATGATCGCACAGATAATTGAGAAGGTTGAGTATCAAACAGACTGGCTTCCAGGCTCCCTCTCCAGAATGTCTGTATTTGCATACTAGGTGGTTGTTTCCTTTGGGGACTTCAGTAAGAGATGGAGGGATCGATCCCACGTTACTTTAATTTGTTGGAACTCCTGCTTCCATAGCTGCTTCTGTGAAAATTTGCGGTCCATGTCTCTTGCCAAGAGTGTTGGAGGCATGTCCAAGAGCTGGGGATGTAGTGCAGTTCACAGAGCTCTCGGCAAGCACACATGAAACCCCGTATAAACTGGGTGGTGCTCAGGTCTATAATTTTAGCTCTCGGGATATGAAGGCTGGGGTATCAGATGATGAGGTCATTTTCAGTCATATAGAGAGTTTAGGACCTTGTCTCAAACAAAGACTATCCAATCTGTTATGAAAGGGTAGACCAGTGATTCTCAACCTGTGGGTTTAAACCCCTTTGGGGGTTGGATGACCCTTTCATAAGGGTTACATATCAGATATTTATATTATGATTCACAACAGTAGCAAAATTACAGTTATGAAATAGCAATAAAACTTATGGTTGGGGTCACCACAACATGAGGAACTGTATTAAAGGGTCACAGCGTTAGAAAGGTTGAGAACACTGGAATAGATTCTATGTGACTGCTGCTCTCAGCTCCTAACCTACGGACTGCAGGAAACTCTTTCTGGGGATAGAATGACGCGAAATATCATCTAAGGGGTTTAACCAAAATGTGGACACTGTTTTATTAAAAAATTCTTTTTAGTAAGGTTTTAATGTTGCAATTTTCTTTTCTGTTGGTTGCAAACTCAGGCTGCTTAAATATATGTTTGTGAACACAACTCTGTACTTGTGTTTTAAACATTTTGTGGGGGGAAAATTCGACTCCCAGATGTAAGTAGGACCTGAAATGTGCAAAAGTATAGGGCAAGGTTAGGTCTTTCAATGTAGTCCTTTTGTAGAGAAAAATTTCCAGAAACCTCCTGCCCCACCCACTCCAAAAAGGTTTCACATGGGAGAAAAGTACATGCTTTGCAAATTCTATGTCTTAACTGCCAGCAAATGCCTGTAATTTGGAAGCTGTCGTGGAAGGTATGGTTCTATACTGCCCTGTGCAATAACAAACATATGGGAAAGATTGGTTTTCCAGTTCCCTAGGCTTTATTTATTTATTTTCATTATTTTAAATTATGTATAGGTGTATCTGTCTGCAAGGAGGAGCTGGAGTTAGAGATAGCTGTGAGTTGCCTCCCGTGGATGCTGGAAACGGAACTCAGGTCCTCTGGAAGAGCAGCAAGTGCTCTTAGTCACTGGGCCATCTCCCTGCCTCTCGGTTTCCTAGGTTTTAATGTGGCGTTGGATTGCCCAGGTGACATTGAGAGAAGAGGCACAACAGGTCCTAGTTGGCAAGGTGGCTACGGCTTTAACTCTATTAGTTCTAGATGTTTAAAACTGGAACTAGGTGCAAAGTCATAGGAAGTCGTAGAAAAATATGCACGAGCTCATGCGCTCTTCACCTGGTTGTCGTCTGTCTGAAACACCCCCCCCCCCTCCATGGTCTCAGCTTGGATGTCATTATTAGTGATTAGAGAACATTCAACAGCAGTCCAGGCCCTTTGGTAGGAAGCTTGCAAGAAGACTGTTTTAAATTTCCTCTGGAAGTTCACATTGGAGCAACAATTGGCCGAGGATGTTTTGTTTGCTAACTAAATTGGAAGACTTTTAAACTGCCCTTGGGAGTTTTACATGTGAGACCTTTGATAAGGCAGAAATCTCTGCAGAGTCACAGATCAAGGACTGGCCAAGCTCCTTACCACGGCTTACAAAGTTTGTGTAGTGACAAGGGACCTGCCCCCTTCCCTTCCTCCTCTTCCTTCTCCTTCCCTCTTCCTCCTCTATTCTTCCTCCTCTTCTCCTCCTTCTTTACCTCCCCTTCCTCTCCTCCCTCTCTGCCCCTCCTTTATCTACTCTTATGTTGGCATGCTCCAGCCACCAAGTGAGTTCCCTTTGTTTTTTAGTTCCTTTTTGAATATTAGTCCTCTCCTCTCCTCTCCTCTCCTCTCCTCTCCTCTCCTCTCCTCTCCTCTCCCTCCTCTCCTTCCCTTCCCTCCCCTCCTCTCCCCTCCCTTCCCCTCCACCCCTCCTCTTCTCTCTCTCTCTCCCTTCTCCTGCTTCCCCACCTCTTTCTCTCTGCCTCCCTCTCTCCTCCCCCCTTCCTGTCTTTCTTTTTTTGTGGCATTTAAAACAGGGTTTCTCTATGTCCTGGAACTCACTTTGTAGACCCGGCTGGAACTCACAGAGATCGGCCTGCCTCTGCCTCTTGAGTGCTAAAATTAAAGGCATGTTTCTCATGCGCAAACCCTAGTCTATTTCTTTGGGGACACTGTCCCTTCATTCTTAGCGTGGTGGGATCTTGTAAAATGCCATGTGCTCAGACTCTGCCAGTTATTTTTATCTGAAAGTTGTTTCCATTACTGTCCCTTGTCATAGCACCCGGATCATTTGTCTTCATGGGACCTGTTGTAACTTGTCATACTGTGATGGATCATCTTTACTGTTGTTTTCTTGTTTACTGGCTTTCAGCACAGCTAGACTGACATTTTTGGATGCTTCATAAATGCTTGTTGAGTGACGTTTAGATGGTCAGAAAGTTAGGTGGCAAACTCATTGGTATAGTCATTTTCTACACCCTTCTAATTTTATTTTACTTTTAAAATTTATTATATATGTTTGAGTGTCTTGCCTGTATGTATGTCTGTGTGGCACATGCAGGCTTGGTGTTCACTGAAGCCAGAAGAAAGCATTGGATTCCCTGGAACTGAAGTTCTGGATGGTTGTGAGTCACCATGTGGGTTCTGGGAACCAAAGCTGGATCTTCTGCAAAAGCAGCCAGTGCCCTTAACCACTGAGCCATTTCTCTACTCCCTCAATCCAATTTTCAAAATCCTTTTCTTCAGAAAAATTTCTAGAACTTTCTGAAACTGAGATCTCCACAACACAGTAGATGATGAGAACAATGACCCAAGGTGATATTTGATCAGCTTTAACTATATTTTGAATATAAACGGAACCTCCCTCTTCCCTCTGCTTCTGAGTGGATTCTGCTACGGACCAGTAGCTAGAGAACTTTTCACACGTCTTAACTCATTGAATTAATACAAAATCCCAGGAGATGATCGCTATTGTCCTCATTTTAGTGAACAGCTCAGAGCAGTGGCCCGAGCAGAGATAAAGTAGCTGTGATACCCATCATCTTCCTCCTCGCAAGAATCCCACAAGAGCAGCTCTTCCCACACGTGGTCCCAGGGAAACCTGTGAGCATTGCGCTTAGTGTTCTCAATGCGTCTTTAATATGACTGAAAGGTGTCAGCCCCAGCAGCGAAGGGTTAGCTTAATAAAAGAAAGAGAAGGAAGAGGAAGAATGGGGCAACTATTGCAGCTCTGGTGATACTTTGGGGTCAAATGAGGCCCCAGGCATTTTCTGTAACATAAGTGCTTTCATTATGGTAACTGAGAAATTCGGGGTAAGGGAAATTACTAATTTACCATGGTTTTGCATGTCGCTCACCCTCTCCTCCTTTTGTGACTGCGAAAGAAAGGAAAATGTTTTCAGCTGCTCAAGTCACTTATATTCGTGTCTCCAGTTTTGGGAGAGAGAAGGAAATGACAAGCATTCGTTAGAAGAAACTGTTTTCCCACCTCCTCACGACGAGGAAGGTCTTGTGGAGCCTGTGCTGTGCTGCGCTCTGGGGTCCCGTGTTCTCATGATTTGCTAGCAGGACAGGGCAGACCGCTGCTTGAAATCGTGACTGGTCCTAAGAAGGATTTAGTGGGGACTGTTGGATCTGAATCTCCGTGTTCCCATTTCCCCCGTGTGAAAAGGTAGCTTTGGAAATGGATACATTCATAGAGGTAAAACCCTAGGAAGGGGTAAGTGCCCCAATAAATAGGACCTCAGTGAGCCGCTGTGCCCCTTTATCGTGGAAGTATGTAGGCAGACAGCCTTTCCTAAGAGCCAGAGTCATATCATACACCAAGCCCAACAATGTTTCAAAAAATTAAATTATTATTATTATTATAGACAGGCTGTCCTGAAACTCGCAAAGTAGACCGGGCTGTCCGCAACTCACAGATCCACCTGCCTTTGCCTTCCTGAGTGGTGAGATTAAGGGTAGGTGCCACTATGCCTGGCCCCTGCTAATGTCTGGATCTTGAACATCTCAGTCTCTAGAACTCTGAAGCTTAAATTTATGTTAAGTTTGTGGCATTTGGTGGCAGTAACTCAAACAGAGTAGGAAAGATGTTGTAGAGTTCCCCATGTATTTGTTCAAAGTGACTTCTTCCTCAAACAGGCATGATTACCACATTATTTATTCTTTTGCAATTGCACACACATCTTTTGTTTTCTTTCTTTCTTTCTTTCTTTCTTTCTTTCTTTCTTTCATTCTTTCTTCTTTTTTTCCTCTTTTTAGGTTTAGGCTGGCCTGAGTTCCCTGTGTAGCAGAGGATGAAGTTTAATATCTGATTTTCCTGCCTCATCTTCCCTTGTGCCACCATACCCATCTATATAGTGCTGGGGACCAACCCTAAGGCTTCCAGCACACCAGTCAAGCATTCTTTCAACAGATCTATATCTCTATCTCCAAAGTGACTCTTACAAAAATGTACTTTATGTTATGTACATGCGTGTGTATGTGCATAAGTGTATGCATGGGTACCAGATCCTTTGTAACTGGACTTGACAGGTGGTTGTGAGCCACTATGTAGGTGCTAGGAATCCAACCTTGGTCCTCTGCAAGAGCAGCCAGGACTCTCAACCTCTGAGCCATCCCTCCTATACCCTCCACAGTGACTTTTTAAGGTCCTGTCTCTCTAGGACTTCTACCTGAGGCAATATATTATATTGATTGAATGTAGAGCTTTATCTTAAGAAAAAAGAAGTCTTTGCCTTTGTTGAAAATATCCATTTACAATGAATCATAATCTGAAGTTCAAAGAGACCTTTGGAGATCTTGTTCTTTAGCTATTCAAAATCACAAAGGCTTAAAAACCCAGCTGTTATTGGAAGGTACGTACAAACCCAGATTAGTAACCCGTAGTGGGTTCACACAAAGGAATGCTATTCAGAAACTGGTGAACGCTGCTGTTTACCTGGGAAGGTCTGGGTGATTGATTCTATCTGTAATGTAATTAGGAACAAACAAACAAAAGTTAGACACAAGCGCATGTAACTTGATTCTTGTTTACATACAGTTTTAAAACAGGTAAGAGTGATCATCGGTATTGGAAGTTAGCCCTTTGTGAGGTGATGCAGCGGAGAGACTTCTGGAATTCTGGGACTATTGTCTTCTTTGAACAGAACACACTACAGGGTACGTTTGATTGTAAAAAATCATATGCAACAAATTGGGCACTTTCAGTATGTTAATTACACCACCAAAAGCACTAGAAAAAAGTAGGTTCGAGGGTTTGAGGGAGAGACTGGGTTGCTGGCAGGCATCCCAGCATCCTTCACTCCAGACATGATGGCAACCTCCATTCTATTCTGTCTCTCCCTGGGTGGTGGATGGTGGGAATGAGGGGTAGGCTCCAGGGAGACACGGTGGTCTCTAATTATACTTTTTCTTTTAGAAAATGAAACCCCCCAAAAAGGACTTTAAATGATAGTCTATGAAAGAACCTCCTCGATGTCATTTACTGACGAATTCCTCCAGCAGAGTGAACAACCCTCCACCCAGGACAACACCGTCCTGCCTGCCAGGCCTGGGTAGTGGCACCCAGAGGTTTGGATCACCACAGCCCTGCTTCTCTCCTTTCCTGAAACCTTTGACAGGGTCCTTTCTCTGAGTCTCAATCTCTATCTCATCAGAATAAAGCCTGAGACTAGGTGAGGCTCCCCAGAGACCCGTGTCTGGTACCCGGCCTGCATGCACACATGGCAGGCACTGAAGGAGCTGTACTCCTAATATCTCTAATTTTCGTTCTGCACCATGAGTGATATTTTAATCTTGAGAATGAGAACGCCAAACAAACAAACAACAACAACAAAAATTAAAGCAAGATCTCTCTCTGTCTCTCTCTCTCTGTCTCTCTCTGTCTCTCTCTCTGTCTCTCTGTCTCTGTCTCTGTCTCTGTCTCTGTCTCTGTCTCTCTCTCTCTCTCTCACACACACACACACACACACACCTATTGAGTGACAGGGTAAGCCTTGAATTCTGACCATTGATCTTGACCCCAAGTGCTCCATCTCTTAGATATTCTGCCTTGGATAATGCAGGCTGTTTTGCTGCTGTGGTTCCTGGGAATTAGGGACAGGATAGTTGAGGAGGAGTCTTTTCTAGATCCATCGTTGTTGTGATTTTGAGGTTCTCCTGACTGTAGTTCCTGGGAGACAACCTTTCTTCCCTCTCTCCTGCATCTCTAAACTGAAGTCTCATCCCATACTCCACTCCCTGGCCCCCTTAGAAGTGTGACCATATCATAATGTAAAATTTTAAAAAGTCCAAAGTCTTTTCTCAGACTCCAGGCAATCTCTTAATTGAAAACCTATGTAAAATCAAAAGCAAATTACGTACTTCCAACCCACAATGGACACAATACACATTATCATTCCAAAGGGGAGGAATGGGGTCATAGTGAGGAAATATTGGTTCAAAGCAAGATTGAAACCTGGTAGGACAAGCCCCAAATTCTACAATTCCACGAACAATGTCTATAGGCTTAGATGGCTCTACACTTCCAGCTTTATTGCCTGAAACACAGACCTCGCTCTTGGGCTGATCCTGCCTCCTGTGTGAAGCTTTCCTTGGCAGAGATCTCACTGCTGTGGCATCTCCCCCATCTTGGGAGCACCAATGCAACCAGGCTTCTCTTCCATAGCTTTACATAAGGGCCTCTCAGGGATTCCATGCAGGACGTCCCTGAGGCATGGTACCTGGCCTCAGCAGTGACCTCTTCACTTGGGCATCTCTGCCTCTGGATGACACTTCCAAGTTCAGATGCTGGGCTGGGCTGGACCGTGGCTGCTCGAGCCTCACTACAGCAGCTTGGGTCTGTTGTTGCTTTGTAAGCTTTCTCCTTTCCCACTTTTGAAGTTTAGTCTTGTCCCTAGGGCACACTTCACTTTATTCCCCTGCAGTTCAGGTTAATGGCACCAATTACTGGTGCTTGTCCTTAGGAACTATAGCCTCTCTTGCAACACATGCCTGGACTGTAACATCAAGCTCGCCCGCGTCCTCTTCCTCCACAGTTCTTTTAGCTCTGTCTGTTCCTTTCGTTATAGACCTACGCAAAATGGTTACTAACAACCATGTCACAGAGTTAATATTAAGCTGTTTTGAAATCTTTTCCTCCAAAGAGTGTAATCTGTTACTTTTTTTTGCTTTGTTTTGTTTGAGACAGGGTTTCTCTGGGTAGCTCTGGCTGTCCTGGAACTTTCTGCAGACCAGGCTGGCCTTGAACTCAGAGCTCTACCCGACTTTGCCTCCTGAGTGCTGGGATGAAAGACATGCACCATCACCTCCTTGGAAGTCTGTTACTTTTAAATTTTTCTCTGGTAAGTTTTTAGGACAAGGGCAGAAAGCAGTCACATTATTTGCCAAAATACCACTCAAGCAAGCTCTCTGGCTCTGTTGCTAACACTGTTTCCCTCTGGTGCCTTTTGAACCTCCACAGTCTGTAAATCTCTCAGCACCGCTGTCTTCCTGCTTCCATCTCCGAGGGCTCAGTACGTCCTGCTGACAGCATTCAGCAGATTTTCTAGTTCAAAGTTGCAAAGTCTTCCACATTCTTCCAAAAATCAGCATCGTCAGGTCTGGCCCAGTACTAGCCGACGCCCTGCACCAACTTCTTAGTTACTTTCCCCACTGCAGTGACAAAACACGATGGTCAGAGCAGCTCACAGAAGGATGGACTTATGTGGGGCTGATAATTCCAGAGGGTTTGAGAGTATTCCATGAGATGAGCTGTGGTGGCGCACACCTTTAATCCCAGCACTTGGGAGGCAGAGGCAGGTGGATCTCTGTGAGTTTGAGGCCAGCCTGGTCTACAGAGTGAGTTCCAGGACAACCAGAGCTGTTACACGAGAAACTCTGTCTCAAAAAACCAAGCAAGGCCAAACCAAACCAAAAGCAAAACCAAAACCGAAAGAAAATCCCTCAAAACAAGAGTCCATTATGACAGCAAGTCTCGGGAGTTGTGGCTGGAACAGAAGCTGAGAACTCACACCTTGAACTACAGGTAGGAGGCAGAGTGAAAACTGGGAAGGGTGAGTGGTTTTGAGACCTCCACCCCTCCTAAGCCTACGCAAACAGTGCCGCCCACTGTGTTGTGTACATCTGAACCTGTGGGGGACAGTCTCCCTCACATCACCACAGAGCCCTTGTGAGTATGAGATCTCATGTTTGCCCGTTGAATCTCACCCTAGCTTATGCTAAATGGAGGGCTGAGATTTGTGGCCATGGATCCTAGTTCAGACCCCAGCAGCCACACCTGTCCGATTCCTTTAAGGGATTAGATTGGCGGTGAAGTCAGGGGTGGTGTTCAGGAGGCAAGAGGAGTGGCTGTGGGGGCCTGGGGTCCGGCAATCCCAGCCATCTCAGATGGTGGAGCTGGATGAGGTGCTGGATCTGATGGTTCAGTTTAATGGCAAGGTTTGTGGGGTACTTGAGGTGGCGAAGAGATGCCTGGGGAAGCCCAGAAGGCCAGTGATTGGGCTGAGGGATTCTTGGAATCTGGGCTTTGAGAGGGAGCTATAGCCACAGACTAGAACTTTAACATGTATAGACTCAGCCTGAATAGCTGGTGGCTTCCTGTGCTCTGGAGAGGAGATCCTAGTATTTGAGGAACCTGTGAAGCCCTGCTAGCCCAGAAACTTCCCAGGTCCTTTGCTCACTAGTGAAGTTGATGGCTACGCTTTCTCTTCTTCAGTAAGGACATTTACTTGCTATGGGTCCCAGTTAAATCTTCCTCTGGGGGAGGCATCGCTCTCATTGCTCCCCCTTTCATGTCCTTCTTCAGACCCTCTTTTAGTCTAGACTCATCAGAATGAACACAGGATTTTGCATTAGAGACAGCTGGGCAGCAATTCTGGCTTAGCATTGCTGTGTGACCAGAGACAAGTTACTTATTCTCTGAAACTTTTTATCCCCACTTATAAAAGGAAATAATAAAAAGTACCCGACTCATAAACTGGATCTGAGGGCTAATGAAATACTACAGCCCAAGTACCTGCCGTCGAGGAAATGCTAAATAAGGTAAGTGGGAGTAGAGTAGTAAGAGTAAGACGGAAGGAAATAAGCGATGTGAGCGGAAAGTGTGCTGCTATATGGGATTAAAATTTCTGTTCTGAAGTGTGGGTGTGAGAGTCAAAATGAGCCTGTATCTGAGGTACCACCGCCGTCACACTTGATCCTATTCCTGCTCCCTGTGCCCTTCCCCCTGCTGAATCTGCCCCAGAGCTCTGGCTGGGTCCTGTCCCCGGCTGTCATCTCTAGAGGACCTTGCTGTCCTGACTGGAGGACCGGCTACCCATCTTTCCATTTTACAGCAGAAACTCAGGCGGGGAGCGAGCCCTGTCCCTTTGCCCCCTGGCTATCGAGTGCCCCTGAAATGCCCTCCGCCATCCCCACATGGGCAGCAGCCTCCCAGTGCAGCCCGTCGGCCTCATCCGATGTTGTTTATGTAATCCTTCCCTGAAGTAACAAGGTGTTTACTGTTGCGCAAACACATTTTGGTTTAACGGCTGACAGTAAAACTGTCTGATAAAGTTTGATTTAGCGAAAGAAAGCAAAATAAATCTGGGGACACAGAGAGCTGCGGGGAAGAGGGGCTGCTGGGTCTTTATACTAGGTGCAGGAGAACCTTGGCCAGGAGCTGATCTATATTAGCCTGGCTTTCTTTCTGCCCCTCTTCTAAAAGTGCCTCAATAGTCCCCCTTTCCAGAAGTTCACTGACATCCTGATCAATCATGAGCTCGGGATCTTTGGAATTCCCTTGCTGTGGTACCGGCTGGCTCTCTCCCTCCTCTGCTCTTGTGAATGGCTCTGTCTTCCACCATCCAGTGCGGTTTGCTGCTAGCTGCAAAGCCTTCCCTAACTGCTCCGGCACAGACAAAGGTAGCAGTGTGGCATGAAGATCCCCGAGCCAGCAGCCCTGGGAACTGGTTCCAGCTCTGTCATGTATGCCTAGGGAAGGCCTAGGGCAAGTCACCTTCCTTTTAGAGAAGCCAGTGCCCTTTGCCTCAGAGAGCTGTGAAGCCAATAAACCCTGCAGCAGAACCTGTTTCTTAATTAGTCCCTTGCTACATTTGGGACACCCCTGCCTTGCCAACCCTGAAGTATCTATCACGGGACATGCTGGTTGTGCTTCTTGAAGTATTCGGCTTGCTAAGTAAAGCAGGGCAAACATTTGCTCTTGCCTGGGTCTTCGATGTTTCAGGTCAGTTAAGGGGTCTTTTCTCTTCTGCTTTAAATCTGATCAGTAAACGAGAGAATCCAGGAGTCTCCAAAGCTTATGAAGAGTTCCATGACTTCCAAATAACCAGAAAAACATTTAAGAAAATAAATTCACAGCCGCTGGACTGGGTGCCAATGACACCAAGTGCGGGCTGGAATGTGGTGGCATAAAAGTCTTGCACATTGCTTCAGGGAGCATCCTCGTGAGTAGAGGAAGAAGGAACCATGGGATTAGGATTGTACCTGTGAGACGGTTTCCACCTCGCATGAGCCTGGGAAGGGATATGGCCTGGCTTCGGCAGCAGAGGCTCATGTTGGTGTTGATTCAAGGGTGGGAACACCCAAGTGCCATCCTGGAGTATAAAAGGGGAAGATGTGGCTGCCTACCATGCTTGCAACAGTTGGAGGCAGGAGATTGTATAGAACTGTGGCAATAGGTCTGGATCTTTGAAACAGTGCTCAGACTCAAAGGGAAGAAAAATAAGAAGGAGATATACCACGTGGCATTGTTTATATCAATCAAAAATTCGATTTTTTTCCAAAACTACACACAAAAAGGATGCATGTCAAACCTATTGGATAGCCGTGGATGGAGGATAGGGCTGAGGTTTGAGGACTGAAGGGAAAATTTCAAAGCTCCATCAGACTTAGTAGCCTTTTTCACCCATGACCCCATCCTCACTATCCTTCTTCCTTGAGCTTGACCGTGCCTGGCTGCCATCAGTTAGAATGTACGAGTAACTGGGAAGCGTGGAGACCCGGAGAGCTTGAGGGGACCACACCCTATTAGTCATGGCATCTGGATGCTGCTCAGCAAAAGTCTTTTGAATGAACTGAAGAAATTCTTGTTCTTCCATCTCCAGAAAATGTCTCTACTTCCCTGATCTTGGATTCCTACAGCTGTCAAGACAGAGATGATAATTGCAATTCTTTTCCAGGGTCATTGAGGATGAGCTGGTACAACAGGCGTCTGGTTCAGTAGAGAAAGGACAGAACAGAAGAAGGCAGTAGCTCAAGTCCCAGCCAGGGCTGCTTGTGTTAGTTGCAGTCTTTGAATAGTGGACCAGTTACTTCATGTCTAATTTCCATCTGTAAAATGACCCTATGCTAACGGTGTAGAACCGAGGGTTAACGACAGCGCCCATAGAGCACTTGCTATCTAATAGTGGATGCTCAGGAAGCGGGATATCTCTATCTCCATTCCCTAAATTATTTGATGAACATTGGTGACTACTATTGCAGTCTGAATGTCTTGGCTCCCCTTCCCCAGACTCATACACTGGAATCCTAACCCCCTAAGGCCATGCTGTTGGGAGGGAGGTGATGACATCATGAGGTGGTTCCCTCATGCCCTGATTGATGCTCACCTAGAAGAGGCCCCAGGGAACCACTATGTGTCTTTCGTTATGTTAAGACACGGATAAAATGCCCCTCTAGGAAGCAGAGGGTGCACCCATACCAGATACCAAATCGGCTGGTGCCTTGACCTTGAACTTTCCGGTACACAAGGACTACGAGAAATAAATCATAGTGGCGTCTAAGCCACCAAGCTACAGAACTTTGTCCTAGCATTTCAGAACAACTACGACAAGGGTTGGTGTTGTGCCCGACAGAGGAAGAGGACTGAAGATCTATGTTATTTATGGCTGTCAAACAATTTGCTCCTGAATTCCGCAGTCAACACAGCAACCTGATCATCTCAGCGTTCCTGTGGGTCAAGATCCAGGCGCCGATTTGAGAAGGCAGCTCCCGAGGCATGGCCTGGGGCTGTATTCATGGTATGGTTTGGATTGGAAAAGGAGATGGAGGCCACCCCAGTGGCATCTCCTCTTTGCCTTGGGGGCCTATTGTGCTTCAGTTCCTCCTGTGGCAGCTGTCTCCCTTCGGAGCCAGAACACATGCCCGGTCCTGGTGACACGATGTCAGAAAGGGACATCAGCCCTGCTTCATTTTATTCGCTCGAAATGAGTCACTAAATCCAGTCCTGGCCAAGGGACAAGAAATGACACATGGACATGGGGGAGTCAGCAGGGAGGTCAGATGGATCAAGTCCGTCCTCGTAGGGGTTCTCATTTTCAGGTGCGGTAAAGTTTCCTAGGACTGGAGGCAGCTGAGGAATGCATTCTTGCATACAGCAGAGCCACTGGGCTTCATGGTGGGAGCAACATCCATCTGTGCTTTCTATAAGGACGACACATTGAGTAACTCGGAACTATTTATTTATCCATAGAGCGACGTGGGCCGAGCCATCCTGGCTAATTAGACCCTCGGGCTGCTCATGCTTGGGCTGTTTCAACTTTCTGGGAAAAGGCCTTTCTTTATGTGGATGTGTGTGTCTATATTAGTCCATGTAAAGCCTGTGTGTGCGTGTGTGCATGTGTGTGCATGTGTGCCTGTGTGCAAGTGTGTGTGTGCATGTGTACATGTGTGTATGTGTGTGTACCTGTGTGCATGTGTGCATGTGTGTGTACCTATGTGCCTGTGTGCGTGTGTGTTTACCTGTGTGTATGTGTGCATGTATACATGTGTGCATGTGTGTATGCCTGTGTGCATGTGTGCATGTGTACCTGTGTGCATGTGTGTGTGTGTGTGTGTGTTTCTATCTTCTCTGCCTCTTGGATCCTGCCCCTCCCTGGGCCTACAGACCCCTGACTTCACCTTTCCTCTGTCCCCCATGCCCTTTGTCGGGAGGTCATGTGTGAGGAAACAAGCCCCACATGGTTCTAATCATTTTGCTTTAAAAGCTGAGCTGCTCTCTGCTTTGATCCGGGTTGAGCTGCTGGAGGAAGGGCTGGGGGCCAGGCTGGCCTGTCCATGGAGCCCTCTGCACACAGCTCCCACATCAGACCGCAGCCATAAAGTGGAGCACAGCTCATTAATTCTCCCTCTTAACCAGGGCACCTGACAAGAAGTGACTTTGAAAACCCGGAGGACGGATGGGTGGGCGGGTGGGCGGCTCTTGGTCTCGGGGAGAAACATCTGTTTCCAGGTCCCTGGCTGTTAAATTGACATCTTTTTATTTGAAAAATTTCTTTTATTTCCCAACTTCCTGCAGTTGGCAAGGTCTCTAGTGCCAGGGGATAGACTGTATGGTTTTGTAGGTGATGTGGACTGAGCGTCCTGACTGTCCAGCTGAACAGAACTCCAGGTGCCGCAGTGGGCAGCTCGGCCCTCTGTCAATTATTAAACCCGTGTTAGTGCGGAGAACATCAAACTCCATAAAAAAGCAAAAATGGCCCTGAAACTGAAAACCTTGTGAATGTCCTTGAGCCTCCATATGAGAAATATTAGTGCCACAGAGTTAAAAAAAATTCACCTTGAGCCTAGTATGTTTCATCAAGTCTTCTCTCTCTGGGCTTAGCAATCAACTTTCCTTAATAAGAACAACTCAAATCCCCGTGGGCTGCAGCCTTCTTTCCTACATTTTGAGATAGCTTTTGGCAACCAAAGACCCAGAGTTGACCTTTGACCTTGAACTATCAAAGGTCACCAGCAGAGGCTGAGCTGGTTATCCTTTTATCCCGAAAAGGATGAGAGCCTGGAACTCTTAGAATAGGCGCCTGGAAGTGATGGGTGAAAGATCCTATTTATTTCTTCATTGTCTTAGGAGTCTTTGAATTATTTATTTATTTTTTTACCATGACCATGTAGACTACTGTCAACAGGACACAGCAGACAGCCATGGCCGTCGGTCAACCTCTGAGAAGTAAGGGCATGAATGCATTCTCAAGAATTACTGCATTTGATGTATGCCTGTATGTGTTTGAGTGCGTGCGTGTTCATGTACCATCTAGGAGATGTGCGTCTCTTGGTGCGTCTGTGTGGAGGTGTTGATGACATGGTGTGTTTCTGAAGCCTGTGGACTGTGGCATGGGTGAATGACTGAAGGAAATACCTCTGTCAGGGTGTGATTTGTGTGTTGAGGTATGCCAAGAACTGCCGCACAAGGCAGTGGTCTTCATTTGTGGACAGCATGGGTTCCTCGAAGTGACACCATTAATGTTTTTACTCAGCGATTCATCTCAGTAAAAGCGCTTCAGTATTTCTATCCTATGCCTGGAAGCTCTCAGTGAGACTGCAGCTTGCCCAGTCGCTTTGCATGGTCCCTCTCGTTCCAGCCTCATCCAGGTTCTCAACTTTGTGTCAGTCTCCCCTCCCTCAATTAAAAAAAAGATTTTGTATTTTACTTTGTGTGTATGAATGTTTTGCCTGCCTGTGTGCATGTGTACCATTTGTATGTCTGTTGGGACCCCTGGAAATGGGGTTAGAGATGGTTGTGACCTCCTATGTGGGTGCTGGGAATTGAACTTAGATCCTCTGCAAGAGCAACAAGTGCTTTTAACCTCCGAGCCATTTCTCCAGCTCCATTTTGGTTTTCTTCTATCTTTAAAAAAAATTAGGAAAGTAGTACCAAGTAAGAGAATCCATGAAATCATCCATGGAGAGCAACTTGAAACAGTCTGGCAGAGTCAGCCTTTGGTTGGACATCCTCAGCAACTCCTTTCATCACGTACACTATTCCCAAGTCTTTTCTCAAGCCCCCAATGGGAAACCGGGTTAGGGCTACTATCACTGCTGAAACACCGTGACCAAAGGCACCGCAGGGAGGAAAGGGTTTATTTGATTATATTTCCCCATTGTGGTCCTTCACTGATGGAAGTGGAAAGGAACTCGAATGGCAGAAAGCTGGAGACAGGAGCTGATACAGAGGCCTTGGAGGAGAGCTGCTTACCGCCTTGCCCAACCCGCTTTCTTATAGAACCCAGGACGGCCAGCTCAGAGGCAACCCCACCTCCCTCATCAATCACCAATTAAAAAAAACACCTACAGGCTTGCCCATAGCCTGATCTTATAGAAGCATTTTCTTAACTGAGGTTCCTTCCTCTCGGATGACTGTAGCTTGTGTCAAGTTGACATAAACCAGCCAGCACACCCGGTTATGCCGTGATATCATCTATTCTCTCTTCATCACAGGGTCAGTTCTCAGAGAAGCAGTTAGAATCAGTTCTAGTCCCTTGGTCAGTGTTGCTGTAAACCACCTTTCCAGACCAGACCGCTTGCCCAGGCAGGTATAACCCAGATAGTGTGGCCCCGAGGAGGCGGTCACTTGACGCCTCAACACTTCCGTTCTCAGCTTCTTGGGGTGGAGAACCTGAGTGGGTGAGTGGAAGTGGAAAGGGTGCTACCTAAACTAGCCCAGGCAGTTGCATCCTCCTCTTTCTCCTTCTCTCTCTTCACTGGGCTCGGAGTGAGGAGGGAAGCCCAGACGCAAGGATGTGTCTGGTACTAGCTTCTTATGAGTTTGGGGCCAAGCAAACAAGAGAATCAACATCCTGGTCACTCTGGCTTTTCTGTTGCGATGTGAATATATTAAAAGGCTCATTCCAGCTGTGCAAATCACCAGGCCATTGAAATAATTTTTTTTTTTAAAAAGCTTTAACCATTAAAGATTTAACTAGTCAATAAATCCAAGTATGTGGGGGGTTGTTACCAAACATTTATTGCGTTGCTCTTGCTTTTAACTTAGCAGCAAATGCCACGCTTACACTTCCATGGGAAAGGCCTTCCTTTACAGTTGAAACTGATGTGGTTCTAACCAAACCCAAGTGAGAAGTCCCTGTCTCCAGAAGGATTCTCTCACTTTTGTTTCAAATCGTCTTGGAAGTTATGACGACTCTATCAGTTTTATAAACTAATTTGATTGCTGGGCAAAAGGCCTATAAGACCCTCTTGTTACCACAGTTGAAACATGACCGACTAAAGCGATGGTTCTCAACCTTCTTAATTCCATGGCCCTTCAATACAGTGCCTCATGTTGTGGTGATCCCCAACCATAGAATAATTTTCATTGCTACTTTCTAACTGTGATTTTTGGTACTGTTATGAACTATAATATAAATATCTGTGTTTTATGATGGTCTTAGGTGACCCCTGTGAAAGGGTTACTCAATGTCCCCCAAAAGGGGTCCTGACCCATAGGTCGAGAAACACTGGGCTAAAGTAATCCTAAAGTCAACTTTCAACATGAGCATCTTGGTGCTGACTTTTCTAGATTTAAATTTTATAAAGGGGTATAGCTTTGTTGAAGAAAAATTTCAATATCTTTTCTCTTAGCATCTTCTGAGTGAGTAGGGTAATCAGGGTCTTAGGACCTGGCAATTATAAAGAGCAATAGAGAAGAATTGTTATTGCTATCGTCATTATTATTACTGTTGCTCTTACACTGACAGCAAGCACACCATCTGCTCACTAGTGAAATATGGCCTTTAATTTGGACAGATATGAAAGTACAGAACTTAAACAATCATAGGCACCTTGGACTTTAAGAAATGAAGAGAAGCTAGATAAATCTTGGCCGTCAAAACAAAAGGCAAACAGAAAGCAGAGAAAGGGCTGACATACTTGCTGAGTTACACCAGCCAGTGCCAGGACAGAGCCATGTACCAGATGTGTGACCTTTCCTGCCCACTGACAGCTCTCCAAACCACTCCAGCAGTAAAAAGTCCTGAAACTCTGGTTTAGACTCTCTCTCTCTCTCTCTCTCTCTCTCTCTCTCTCTCTCTCTCTCTCTCTCTCTCTCCTTGAGGGCTGCAGAGTGGACATGCTGGGCTCCCTATCTCTCAGAACAAACCAGTAAGCCACTGCCATGAGTCTTTCTTTGCCCCACAAGCTAGCTCCCAAGTAACCACATGGAGACTTATTATAATTATGAAAGCTTGGCCAATAGCTTAGGCTTACTTCTCACCAGATCTTATAACTTAAATTAATCCATTTCTATTAATTTATGTGCTGTCACCCGGCTCATGGCTGTTACCTCATCTCCTACCTGTTATGCTTTCTCCACATCTCCTTGCAACTCTGCCCTTCTTTTTCCCGGCATTCTCTCTGCCCTGAAAATTTGTAGTAGTATCATGAGTTCTGCAATAACCCGGAATGGAGTATAGCAAAGGTTTATTTATTTGGGGATAAACTCACAATAAGAACAGCGATCTGAAGTCTTCTGCGTCCTAGTCCAGCAGAAAAAAAAGGGTCGCAAATGCTTTTCGTCTGCACTTATAGTACATGAGACCACGCCCAAAGTGGACCGGGATCTAAAAGGTTATTGACTGAAGGAGTTCCCACAGCAAAATCCTGCCTAGTTATTGGCCATTTAGATTTTTATTAAGTCAAGCACAGGGACGTATCATCACACAACATAAAAGAATATCCCACAACAAACCGTGTTGTGGGAAATAGTCTCTAAATTCTGCCTCTGGGGCTGGAGAGATGGCTCAGAGGGTAAGAGAACTGGCTGCTTTTCCAGTGGTCCTGAGTTCAATTCCCAGCAACCACACGGTGGCTCACAACCATCTATAATGAGACCTGATGCCTTCCTTGCCAGCAGTACATTGTATGCTTAATAAATAAATAAATAAATAAATCTTTTAAATTCTGCCTCTGGTTTGGCTTGACTATGTCCCAGAGTAGAGCTCCATAGTGGAGCAGGCACAGAGAGCTGAAACTGCAGGGGACACATGGGATGACGGCTGATCCCATACTTTCTCAGCTTTGCAAAGGAAAGGTTATTCTGTCTGTGCTCATGATCTTGATCTTCAATCCATGCCATTCCATTGAGAAGGAAGCACACCTCTCCGGAACTGGAAGTGATTGCCCCTGCAGATCCCTCGCTCTGTCCTTGGACATGGGCTAAATACTGCCAAATTTCAAAGCTTCTTCAAAGAACTGTGAGGTGGAGGCGAGGTAGAAATTATTTTCAAGCCAGACTGGAACAGAAGGGACACTCTAGCTAGTTTATTGGGGGGATATCCTTAGCCCTCTGTA